GGATCGTTATTGGCTCATCAGTAGAGTTAACACACTTTATCGGGACCAATCTTTTATCAGAGTGCACAACTGCATGAGCGAATGAAATGCCCATGTCCCCAATACCTTGCTTGTACTGTGGCTTAATCACACCTTTAAAATTCACTCCTTTCGCCTGTAACTTTCCCCTGATGTACTGCACCGTGTTAGGAGGAATAATTGTGACCTTGCTACATCTAACTTTTATCTGCTGCTTGACATTCTCCGGCTTCTCCGTGAATGGTACACTATCTCCATTAGTCAGCACCAGTCTGCACTTACTGTAGTCCAGAGTTACCCTATTTGACCTCAAGAAATCATCTCCAATCAGGAATTCTGTGTCTAACAGATCAGTTACCACGAAGGTGTGTACAAATCTATTGCCAGCAACTACCACCTGTAGTTCTAACTCTCCCCTGATTTGTATCTTGTCTTGAGAAAATGACTTCAATGTCATGTCACATGGTCGGATCCCGCTCTCTAGACTCAGTCCTCTCACAAAACCCGTGGACACAATACTCACAGCCGACCCGCTGTCAACAAAAAGGTAGGCTGCCACTCCTCTGCAACTCCCAGCCACCAAGATGTGTTTCCAGTTCACCGCATTCACCTCCTTCTGCTTCCCAGATGATTTTAATTGCGACTGATGGGAAATGAATTTTGTCCAGTCGCACGCCCGTTTAAATGGTCTCTCTGCATTCCATGCTGTTCATTCACTGTGGGTCTGTACTGCCCTCCTTGTTCTCCAGATTGCCCTCTGTTGACGTTACAGAATCTCTGAATGTGTCCCTCACCGTGACAATTATAACAAATCAATGGCCTGCGACTCTCTCCTCTACTCGCACCTCCACTCGCCCCTCTACTCGCACCTCTACTCGCACCTCTGCTACTCCGCTCAACCGGACTCACTCTACTCCTACAAACACTGGCAACATGCCCTTTACCTCCACACAGCTGGCACACAATATTGCTCCAACACGAGTCAGCCTTGTGACCCTTCTTCCCACACATCTGACAGTCATTCTCATCCTCTTCTTTCTCACCTTGCCTGCCAACACCATAAGTAGGTGCCCGGAATTCCAGTGTATTTATTGGATCACTGTCAAGCTCTCCCTCTACTGCCTTGGATATGTGTTCCTCCTGTACAGCTAAACGGATCACACTATCAAAATCTTCTGTCTCCGTGTTCATCTGAAGGAGCCGTCTTTTAATAGCAGGGTCTCTCACGCCCTGTATCAACACAGTGATACCTGCACTCTCTCTCTCCACAGCTCTCGGGTATATCTTCTCAGCAGTGTCCTGTATTCTCTCTGCGAACTGCTCCACGCTCTCTAACGCTTCCTGTCTCATCTTGTGAAACGTTGTTCTCATAATTCTCGCATCAGTAGCGGGACATAGCTCTCGTTTCACCGCACTGATCAGCATTTTCACGTCACCTCTCTCCTCACTCAACAGCCGAATGTTCTTGACTTTCTTGAACTTTGCATCGTCTTCTATCTGATTTGCAAGCCTCAAGTCTAGATTGTCCTTTACTCCGCATAACAGGACCCATTGCTCGAATCTCTGTAAGAATGTACAAAAGTCATCATTTTTCCTATACCTAGGCGCCTTACACTTCATCGTGTATACTCCCTTATCTCTCTCTGTATTTCCGGGTTGCAAATCATCACTCTCAGTAGTTCTCGCTCTTTCTTGAAATAAGTTGCTCGTGTTCTCCAACTTTACTTCTTGATCCCTCATCAATCCCTCTCGCTCAAGTTCTGCGTCCTGTCTCCACTTGATCATATCTCTCTCCAACTCTCTCACTCTGCTCAAACACTCCTCTCTCTTCTCGCTCAAATCAAACAACTCCACTTTTCTCTCTTTTATCTCCGTCTCTTTATCACTTGTGTCCCAAGACTTCATTTCCAATCTCACCTCCACAATCTGATCCACAATCCGTTTTTCCTCCTCTACTAGTTCCTTCATCTCCTGCTCCATGTTTGTGAGTCCAGACATAGTACCACTTTCCTAGGTTCTCCAGATAGTGTAAAATAAGGTAGGCACCAGACCAGTCCTCCCGGGCGTACCAATGGTATACAGTGCCTGCTCACAAATCCTCTCACACTACACACTATACTCTCAGTCGTTCTTAGCGACTGACAACCGCAATAACTCACAATATCTAAGTATTGAACTCTACGTTAATATAACAAATACGATATTCTAGTACCGTACACGGAATTAACAGAAAGGGATACTAAGGTGTTAATATCGAGAATATGAGTCAAATGGGAAATATAAACTCGTTACGAACGCTAGTAGAAACACTAAACTCTTAGAACTTGCACTTACTCTGAATTGACTGAAACACGATCTTCGAGTATCGAAAGCTTACTAATTTACCCCACACGGAAATAGGTGAGGCAACTTTAATTTGAACGGTATAATGTGGTACAATTCGTTCCTACGCTAGTGTTGAACAAGGGAAACAGTTGAATCGATTAATAACGTTCGAAGATGAAATATACGGTTAATTAACAACAATTAACAACTATAAACTGTGGCAATACGGGCCACGCCGGGTTCGTTCCAGATCAGCGGTTAACACTTTTATTGAAAGTTAAACACGTCACCTAAAAAGCTTTTCCAGAACTAATCCTAACGTGTCCAGAAATGCGTTATCGACACGCGCCACGTGATACCACGTGGTCACTTAACTACCTAAATCTACACTCATTACTAACGGTCATATTAATCACTAAATTACAATCTACACAACTGCTAAAACTACTCTAAAACTGCTGCAAACAGCCTACATATTACACTACCTCCCCGGATTTCCAGCTACTCTTAATGTTTTAAATAAAATGTGTAGTTACTCAAAATAGACAATAATGCATTGTCATACGTTGTATGATCCGCTGCGCACGAGTGCGCGGCTCCCCCTGTATCGTAGAAACAACTATTTTGTATTTGTATCACGTCGTGACCCCCATTGTCGTTTCACTTTCACTATAGAGTTTCTAGTTCTACGATATAATACAGGGGAGCCGCGCACTCGTGCGCGGCGGGTCATACAACGTATGACAATAAACTATAGTAAAACGACGATGGGTGTCACGACGTGATACAAATAATGCATTAAGTGTCAAACAAGTTTAGCACAGTTACATTTGGAGGACTTCGACGCGCCGCGCAAACTTGTATCACGTTGCGACCCCCACGGTCGTTTCACTATGTGACGATACGAGGGGAGCCGCGCACTTCGTGCGCGGTGGGTCATACAACGTATGACAAGCGCAAACTAGCATTCTTGCTTCGCATCGACGATCGGACGATCTGGGAGGGTTGACAACGTCAATCAAAGTTACATTTAAGTACTCGTTCAAAATACAGGGATCTAAGCTTACAGAGTGTTGAGTAATTAGTGTCAAAGAGTTGAAATAAATGAGACTTTCTCGATAATTCTGCCAAAATTTCCGGACGTCCGGATTTTCAGAAACTTAACGGGTGATACTCGTAAAATATTTACTGGGCGGCGCTCAGCCTGTCATTCCGCCGAATCTTTATTCGGCGGAATCTTTATGTTTATGAACATAATACTCAAATAGCCTAGGGTCCCCAGGTAAGTAAAATATTTGTTTCAAATATTACTGACGAGTCCGACTTGGCGCGCGTCATGGTAGGTTGTAAACCTACAATCAGATTTGATCCTATTTGATACGTATGAAATATGTCTATAACTTGCATAATCATTAAATTTAATCCTGCACACTGCACTGTGCACTTACTTTTTAAGTTGACGTGTACTGACCAAAATTGAACGGGTATGGGGGAGTCGTTTAAGGTCAAAAAGCTACTGATCACGCTATTGTGCTAATTTCACGAAGAAATTTACCTGGGGACCTCAGCACTCAGGCTATCATGTTCATAAACCGAATTAATAGAGATTAGTATAGGCGGAATGACAGGCTGAGCGCGGCCCAGTAAGAAGAAATTAGACAGTTGCGTCTTTGACATTTGAGCATACCATGATGTAATATTCTCTTTCAAAAGTATTCCAAGTGATTTTTATAAGTGCTTATCTTCAAAGTTACAAGATTCAAACACAATATGGAAACACAACGCTTATAAAGTTAATATAAGATGACGATTAATCATGTCACTCGATCTACATTACCTGGCCGGGCCGGGACCCCAAGCTATACAATGTTTTAATTGACGATGTCAATTCATGGCAGCTCGGCGCGGCACAGTAGCGCATTTCGCCGATCTAACCGATGTCGCTGTGAGAAGCCTCATTGAGTGCGCGGCGCGGCACAGTAACGCATCGCGCTACAATACAATGTTCATAAACATATGAACAATAAATAGAGATAAGGCGGAATGACAGGCTGAGCGCCGCCCAGTAAAATCTACACCATACATTTGATATTAACGGGTGATACTCGTCGACGAGTCCAACTCGGCGGGCGTCCTGGTTGGTTATCAGTTATAAACCTACAAACTCGATACGACTGTCACGTGACTTTTTAAACACCAAACACACGTTCTCTAGCTGCAGCCTGCAGCCCTGAATGACTATTCAAAATTTTGTCATACGTTGTTGCATGTTGGTTGTATAGTATGACCCGCCTTACTGGGCCGCGCTCAGCCTGTTATTCCGCCTAATCTCTATTCGGTTTATGAACATGATAGCCTGAGGTACCCGGCCAGGTAAGACCCGCCGCGCACGAGTGCGCGGCCCTCTGTATCGTAGAAACGATACAGATTACAGGGGTATTTTAGTGAAACGACAATGGGGGGTCACGACTTGACGGATCATGTTACTCGTCTAAATTTCTTCGAAGTAGCGCGCGCCGGGCCAGACCATTAACAATCAACAATGATCAAGGTTGGTCTCAACTTTTAGAAAAATCTCGAAAATCGATCACTGTAGTGTGATTTAACATGCTCGCTTAATCATAATGTGTGCTGACTTTTGCTTTTATTCAACAAAGGAAAAAAAGAAGAGAAGAAAGAAAAAGTGTATGTGCACAAGCTCGTCCTATCTCTACATAGTCCTATTCTTGGTAGGCAACTCTTCAGTGCCCATGGAGCTAAACAGGTCAGTTATTCAGTCATTGTTTGGCCTTGGGGACTTCGGGTTACATTTTTATAAACAAGATTTAAAACATTGATCAGCGTCTGAGCGAAGTGAAGGCGGAAAGGTTTGCGCCGTCCAATATGTTGCTACACGTTGTATGTACCTCGCGCGCGCGAAACGTGGTATGCAACGTGTATCAACCAATATGAATAATTTAGTCGGAATCCTTCATGACCATGTATGCAATTATTAAATTTTACTTGCACATTGTAGGATTTGGAGTGTGTACCTGCTCACTGTTTAATTTGTAATTGTAAATACAAAGACTAAGTCTTATCCGGACCCTAAAATATAATGAAAACCACATGTGTACAAATTGAAATACAACAATAAATACTCTTAAAATAACAAATTGAGTTAAATTACTGGGCCGCGCTCAGCCTGTCATTCCGCCAAATCTTTATTCCGCCAAATGTTTATGAACATAATAGCCTGGGGTCCCCAGTTAAGAGTTAAAATGTATTAATCCTTAACATTCTTACCTGGGGACCCCTTGTATCACGTCGTGACCCCCACGGTCGTTTCACTTTATCGTCCTGACGATACAGGGGGGGCCGCGCACTCGTGCGCGGCGGGTCATACAACGTATGACAAGGGACCCCCAGGCTATTATGTTCATAAATAGAGATTCGGCGGAATGACAGGCTGAGCGCCGCCCAGTAACAACACTTAAGTCTTCCTTGAGTTATTTTCAACAATTGAAGTTGTTAAATGTTCAGGAGTTGGACCTGAGCGAAACTGAACGTGATATAGACACCTTCACGGAGTTCATGCAGTGTCTCTACGATAACGGGGCCTCCATTACCAACGATAATGTTGACACTATGCTAGGGCTATCCCGCAAGTACCAGGTAGTGGTACTGCAGTGGTTACTGAAGTTAACTAGAATTAAAGCTACACTAACTTATGGTGGTTTTACATTCAGTTACTTAATTGTTTCAATATATCCGATTTCAAGTGTTCTAAATTGCCAGTCTTAAACTTCAATTGTGGTTGCATGGTAGTTTGAATTTGGTTGTTTAACATGTAATTACAAATTATTTTAGGTACGGTGGCTTCAAATGAGGTGTCTGAACCACATAGCTAGACATTTCTCAAACGATGACGCACTTTACATGGTTATATCTGAGGGCTACTGAAGAGTGAAAACCAGAATCATGAGAAATATGTGGAACTTATTCTGTATTCAGATGATTATTGCGTATTACTTTAATTTCTCGTTAATGTTTGATCGCTGATTTTGACATTCCATGAAGTCAGCAGTGGACAAAATAAAAATTCCAATTTAAAGTTCGAACCAGAATTTTGTACAAGTTTTGTTACTTTACATATACTTGAACAGTCATAAAAATCTGCCGCTGAAATCCTGGGACAATTAATGAAGAGAACGTTTTCGAAATGGTGAAACAGTGGCTTGAATGTGGAACAGAAATATTAACAACCACTCCATTTCCTGGACAGAAACAATTCATAATGACAGTTGACACAAGTATAACTATTAGGGGGGGAGCCAAGTGGATATTTGTAGATATTTGTAGATTAATGTAGAATGGATAATCCACGAAAAAAGTGGATGACATTCTACAAATTTATACATTTATCTCCAAAAATCCAGTAGAATTTCTGGGCACATATTTGAGATTACATTTTTTGTAGATAAATGTAGATATTTGTAGATTATTGTCAATGGATAATTCACGAAAATTCTACAAATTCTACAAATTTATACATTTATCTCCAAAAATTCAGTAGAATTTCTGGGCACATATTTGAGATATACATTTTTTGTAGATAAATGTAGATATTTGTAGATTATTGTAATGGATAATTCACATAAAAAGTGGATGACATTATCCAAATATCTACAAATATCCACTTGGCCCCCCCCCCACTATTAGCTGCTTTAACTAGGTCTAGGAGTAGGAGACTCTTTTTTCTGGATAAAATTATAGATATTTTATCTTTCGAGTCTAAAAAATATCATGTGTAAATTTATTCCTACCAAAAAATACCTCTTTCACGAAACAACAAGTCCATAAATACTAAATCACTCGCCAAGATGTTTTTGTAAAATTTAACATAAAATATTTTGGTAAAGAAACATCAAAATCTGAGAGGCTATAACGGATAAATCACTGTTTTCGAGTTTAAACCTACAGAATATTACAATAAACTGGTCTTGCAGCATGTAAGCCAACTTTTACTTAGCGTCCTACCTTACAACAATGCCTGGGACAAAATGCACATTTAGTCGCTAATTTTATGGCTTGGTATGAAGTTAAGGTAAGTAAAATGGGGCAATGTAAGGGTGAATTATCAGGACATAGGTTGAGGTGTTGCGAAAATGTTTTCATAATTTACCTCTCAGGCGAGTAATTCGGTATAATCGCGACAAGTCGGTTTTGATGACCTGGTAAAATCAAATAAATTACTAAAAATCCAGTTAAAAATAAATATCGGCACCATTGCTGGTTGCTGTGTTATTAAATGAGCGTTTCAGCTCTTCATCATAACTCCACAAGATAAAGAAGGTAAGTTAACAAATAAAAACTCAGTGCAGAAAGCAGTCACAATAATTTACCTGGCAGTTTTCATATTTGGAGAAAATGGGGCAAAATAACGTAACATCACCTACTAATCAGTACCGTGGTTCAATATAACGTAATATTTAATATTTTAAATCATTAAGAAACGTGCCATATTATCACGTAGAGGGTCGGGTCGTTCGTAATATAATGGCTTTTTTAAACAATCAGCAGGAAATATTGGGTAATGGGGGTTGAAACTCAGTTCGCCTGAATACCTCTTCTGGTGGGATACTCTGAGGTTCAACATTACCAAATCGCCAGTGCTAATAGTAAGTGCTTACCATGAGTAAGAAGCTGCTTCATTGCCTCCTCAAACAGCAATATCGCAAAATACTGACCGTTAACTCGCAACATAGCTATTAAATACATTACGAACGACCCGCCAAAAAAGGTAAATTCCCTAGTATCATCTACATATCCCATAAACGTTAACAGCAAAGTTCTCAAATATCTTAGAGAACTTGCCCTTATCTCTGCGGGTCAGGGTAGTGGAGGGGGTGGCGGGGATCAGGGCTGAGAAGGCTGTTCTCAGACATTCCTGAGATGCAGGGTCCTCTTGTTGGACCACTATTTCGTTCACAACGGTCAGGTACTCTCCCTGAACAGAGGGGTTTAAATCATGTGTCATCGCAATATTGAATACCTTACTCGGGATTATTATGACCGGGATAAAGTGGTGGGTTTAGGGTAATTTCGCCATATTTTTCCCGAACCACATTTTCACCGGTCGTTAATAAACCCGCCTACTCAGCTTTTAGGGTTCCCAAGGGGTATGGGTGCTCATATTTTAATCGTTGTCTTATATTCACTAAAGAAGACTATTGGGACACTTGTTGTAGGTTTTTCGACTTCATTTGGCTAAAATTGCAATAAATTCACCTTTTTGCCCAATTCTTGTCATATACCCCCATATATCCTTATTGTCAAATTTGATTTAAATAGGCCAATTTTTAATTTCTTAGGTATTGACTATCTCTACATAATGAAATAGGACTCAAAGTAAAAGTAACAGTTAAATTAAAACTTGAATTAATTAAAACTGATGAAAGGGATGATCCAGATGAAGATAACGAAGATGATTACAACTTATTGGAAGACTAAACAGCTCTCCCTTTATCTTAATATCGATCTGGTTGTTACGCTTCAAATGTTAAAAATTATTTTCCATCTAGTTTGATTAACCACGAGTCATTATTTCTGTCTACTTTCAACAATTATTGATAATTCGACTTGTTTCACAAGTTTTAGCAATGCGAAAATTTCTAAACTTGCTTATCTCTAATAAGGAAATCTACATCTGAGACAAAATTTTTGAATCTAAAATTGAAAGGTTGGACACCGGTAAAATGGCGACCGGGAAAATGTGGTAGGTTTTGAGCAATTTCGCCATATTTTCCCCGAACCATATTTTAACCGGTCGTTAATAAAATTAAACCCGTCGTAATAATCCCGAGTAAGGTAATGTGTGATAATTCAATAATTCATTATCTTTAACCCCGTGTGGATTCGTTCCAATCACGCGATTTAGATTTATACGAGAATCGCAATTTAGATTGATATATGAATCTAAGTTATATTTCTAAGATTTTAGATTAAGGTTACCGACCCTGCACTTGCAGATGAAAGAGAATACCATATCAGCGGCGGTGTCATACAACTCTGCTGATAACTCCTGTCCGGATATCAACAATAACGTGTGCTGAAAGAGTGAGATTTAATGGAGACTTTTATATTTGTAGAACCTTCTAGAAAAACTCTGATAATTCTTTAACCTGGTGGTTACTGAGCATAATTAGCACCCTTATCAGAATGAGAAGTCCTCCTTAGAACTTATATGACTCAGCGATCAGATCACTTTCACTTGTAATGAGTCGGTAGCATCTAGATTTGCTTAAAAATTTCAGATATGATTCAATAGTTGTTTACCAACACCTAAATCTTAGCTTGGAGAGTCTCCTTTTTTGCCGGTACAGGTTCTCTTTTAGCTATTTAGAAAAACAATTTTCTCATGATGACTGATGAGTTATCAGTATTTAATCTCTGTATATATATTTGAAGACCGCCCCACGAAAAACCTCACCGAACCTCCACGCGGTGTGGGGTGGTTGGCTCGAACGGGAGGTGCATGGGTGTTTCTAACCTATGCAAAGGAAGGGACTAGCCATCTCTACAACAAGGAAAGGCTCTAATAGCCTCTACTAGCCTTAGAACCGCAGCATAACCGCTTTTCCCACAGGCAAATAACACCTTCCGCAGGAAACTAACACGCTCACAGGCCCCCACATGACGTGTAACCCCAGGATTTGGTTTTGGATCGGACACTGAAAACAACAATAGAGGAGCGGTCTACACGATCACAGGCTACCATGTCTCGTGTAACCCCAGGATTTAGCACGCTCACAGACTACCACGTCTCGTGTAACCCTAGGATTTGGTTTTTGACAACGATAGAGGAGCGGTCTACACGCTCACAGGCTACCATGTCTCGTGTAACCCCAGGATTTTACACGTTCACAGGCTACCACGCCTCGTGTACTATAGGATTTTGTTTTGGATCGGACAGACACAGACTACCACGTCTCGTGTAACCCCAGGATTTAACACGCTCACAGGCTACCAAGTCTCGTGTAACCTTAGGATTTTACACGCTCACAGGCTTCCACGTCTCGTGTAACCCTAGGACTCTAACACTTAACAGACTCTAACACGCTCACAGGCTTCCACGTCTCGTGTACCCTAGGATTTGGTTTTGGATCGGACACTCAAAACAACGATAGAGGAGCGGACTACACGCTCACAGGCTACCATGCCTCGTGTAACCCCAGGATTTTACACGCTCACAGGCTACCAAGTCTCGTGTAACCTTAGGATTTAACACGCTCACAGGCTACCACGTCTCGTGTAACCCTAGGACTCTAACACTTAACAGACTCTAACACGCTCACAGGCTTCCACGTCTGGTGTACCCTAGGATTTGGTTTTGGATCGGACACTCAAAACAACGATAGAGGAGCGGTCTACACGCTCACAGGCTACCATGTCTCGTGTAACCCCAGGATTAAGCACCCTCACAGACTACCACGTCTTGTGTAACCCTAGGACTCTAACACTTAACAGACTCTAACACGCTCACAGGCTTCCACGTCTCGCGTACCCTAGGATTTGGTTTTTGGATCGGACACTCAAAACACCGACAGAGGAGTGGTCTACAGTGACGTTACAGGAACATTGCATACTCCTACGAGTTGCATGTAGCAGGCCATGACCGTCCCTGGAAGTCCCTGTCTCCTCATCGTTAACCCGTAAGGGGTTGCACCAGGGGCGGTGGTAACAGAACTTCAAGACTCTCGGAGTCTGTTGTCGATATCTATGTATAATATATTTATGGTATATAACTTGGGAGTCTCTCTCTCTAGCAGCAGGAGTTGGAGAATGGGGACGCGTTGTGAAAGCCACCGCAAGGAAGGCTTACAGTCGACGCCGACCAATCAAAAGAAGATATTTGAAGACCTGATGAACTGCACCATAATATTATATATGATAGCCTTCTCCATTTTATCAGACCTTGAAAAGTACAAATTGAATTAAGGCTCTTCATCCGATTGCAAAGTAATTCACAGAAATCGGTCATTTCAGTTTACTCTTCTTTTATGTTGTACCAAGGGCACACTCAATCTCCCAAATGAAGTCAGTTCGGTGCATCATGCCCCTTACTACCATCCTGGTCTTGGTCCTCCTCCCCTTTTCAACTATCACTCACAGCACACCGGCTCACAATCCTAGTATGTCTACCAATATTCTGGAGATCTTCCAACAGCTGAAGGAGGAATCAGCAGATATCCGAGACGAGGCATATCAAGTAAGAGAGGAAGGGTACGCCGCGATGAGTAAGGCGTACGAAGTAAGAGACGCAGCGTACGAGATAAAAGACTCGACATACGAGGCCAGGAGTGGACTGGAGGCTCTACTTGTGGAGGCGTTCGCTCTTCTGAAGAGTCAGACGTCTGCTACGGGTCTTTATATTCACGATATCAAGAACACGTTGGCTGCTGTAGCAAGCAAGATGGATGGTTTGGAGGCTAAGATAGATGGAATCGAGAGTAAACTTGAGGGGACAACTAACAAGCTAGAGGAAGAGACGCTCAAGATAACAGCAAAACTTGACGAGAAAATGGCTCAGCTCGAAGAAAAGGTGAGTGCCATGGGAGGAGAAATAAGGGAGGTGAAAAGGTCTTTAGACGAAACAAAGGTTGATATCAGTGAGAGGGTTGAAACCTCTATATCCCTGAGCACCTCGGTAAGGGACCGACAACAAGTGTGGATGTCTGAGGTTCGTCTCATTTCACTCTACAAAACAGTCGACCAAAACAATGGTCACCCAGGTTATCCTAATCCAATAGTGACGGATGGAAAATTTGTGATAAATAACGTTGGTGAACATATAAACACTCACAGCCATACCCTTTCAAAGGAAACAAACAATAAACTTTGGATAAACCTCGGCGGGTATTTTAAGATTCACCGGGTCTACATCTGGAACTATCGTGGGTGTTGTCACGAACAGTTGGTAGGAACCCACATCTACGCTGATGAAGAGCTGATAGGAACGGTGGTACAAAACTCAAACTATCACGACTTCCTGATCCCTGAGAAGGACCCTACATACGGTTCTACTGTCACTCTACACCAACCCCTCCCAAGAAACATTCACGTGTTGGAGGGGGGGGGGGGGGGATAACGTATTTTTTTGTTTTTTTCAAAAATTTACTTTTACCTGAACAAAAAAAACAAAAAATTCATTTTGAGCTATTCCGATTTTGAGCTATATTTTTATCATTTTATTGGTTTTTTCCTTTTTTTTCCTTTTTTTGTTTTTGTTTTTTTTTTCCAAAAAACTACTTTTACCTAAACAAAAAAAACAAAAAATACGTTATCCCCCCCCCCCTAACTTCATTAACTTATTTTTATATTTTTATATTTTTGTAAAATAGCACAAGTGCCACGAAGCACTCGATGAGTCCTCTCAAGCTTGTTATTTAACATGTTTACCATACATTCTACCAAGATGATATAAGTATAAATTGGGCACTGTATTGCTGCATGTCACAATCTTCTCAACAAGCCAGATGTCACCATTGCTTCTCGTAGTAAAACTTAAAACTACCTGCTCTAAATTATAGGAGACTGTAACTGCGCCAATACCTGTAACTACATCTAGCCTCCTTTGAAACACTTACAACGATACAAAATGAGAGAGAACAATAACGCTAATCGTAAAAACGTTGCCCTAAAATGCGCCACTTAAACAACTATATATTAACAGTCACAATCAGAGTTTCAGGAATATCAGTTTTAAAGATGCTGCTCTTAGCAACGCTAGCTTGTTTCCTAAAGATGGTGACTCCCACCTCACCTCCCACCTCTCATCCCTCTTATCTCACTCCCGTACAGGAGATATCCTGGTCAGACCGAATACCTGACATAACTAAAACATTCGAGTGTGAAGATATCCTAACCTGCCTGCCTCCCTCCTTCACTCCCCACTGTGCTGTGCACCCTCATAAACCAGTACAAGTAGGTAAAGTCTTCACTCTGGGGTGCTTACCGGGCTTTTGTGCAGACGGAGGAGAGGTGGTTGTCACGTGTACAACACAGATATCCAGGTACGGGTACACGGATAACGAGGAGCTGGTGACGTGCAGAAAGGAGGAGCCTGGAGCAGTACTGGGATCTGAGGTGTCATGTCTTCATGACAAGCATGTAAAGCTAGGGTTTAAACTCAGCTCGACTCTCATAAAATGGGCAAGAGAGAAGGTGTCAACAGGAGCAGACCCGGACACCGTTCCAGCCTCCCCTCTCTCAGCATCCACCCAACCAGCCCCAGACATGAAGCTGCCAAGGAGTTACCGGAGGTTCACAGCAGTGGTGGATTGTAACGTGTGCCTGGACCAGATATGTGGCAAGATGTTCCAGCAGCACGGAAAGAGGATAATTGATATCAGTGGTTCCACTCACATAGCTGTGGGGTGTGCGGTTAACGCGCGCACACATGTTGGTGTCTGTGAGTATGCTTATGCGTGAGGAAGCAGAAACTTGGGCTTGAATCACAGAGTCTTGGAGAATTGGTACTAGTATTCAGTTCATGTTAAATTCCATTTTGTTTAAATTGCATCACAGTGTTTTTATTTCAAAGTAAACTTGGAAAACTGTCTAAAATTTCAAAATAAACATAAAAAGATATGATAACTTGGACTAACCTTTATAATCTGACCGATTTTCTTCTGGAATGGGGGATTGTTAGCTGAGTTAACAGATAGAGCGGACACAGCGTTGAAAATGTAGAAAGTAATATCGTCATTGTAACTGAAATTGGAAATAAGTTGAATTTAAAAAATATATATCAAATCCTGAGACTTATTGCTAACAGGGCGGATAATTTTACATTTTCTGTTATTCCTACGTGAGTGACCACATTAAAATCATGTCACCCGACAGATTTTTTCAATCAATGTTAAAGTAAAGCTAACTTGTTAAGTCCGACTTTGAGCATCAAGACGATCTGATCCACAACACTCTCGGGGAGACTCACTACTTTCTCTGGGTACACCTCACATATAAAAGTTATCAGCTTGAAAAACTCGTTTGATAACTTCGGGAACTTTAACAGCTCTGAGAATTTATGACTGATAAATATCGACAGGTTGATAAACAGGAAGCAAAATCAAAATAAGGGTAATTATGTACATTATTATATGTACAATTATGTATATTTGAAGTCAAGAATAACAATTTTCTAGATTTGAATCAAGAAATGCTTCTTACCGACATCAATGTGAGGCACGATAATATCAAGTCCAACCAAAACAAGTCTACTAGAAGTCTCATCATAGCTGTCAGGCTCGTCGAAGTTGAAGAAGTCCTTGGAACAGAGATGGGAGAGTAGCTCCAGACAGAGCAGGATGTTATCGTACCGGTCATCTTCAACACCTATTGTCAGGGACTGTCGTGCTGAGCGGATGGGTTTGGTAAGGATAAAACCACTAATAATGTGGGCGTTTATTTATGAACTTTAAACTACCGATATTCTAAAATCTGTCAGGGTGCCAATTAGATATGTTGGAGTTTCGATTTAAAGCTAATTTTGGCACATGTTTCAAAATTTTGGTAAGATAATTAGCGTAAATAAACTTACAAGCAGCAGAATCAGAGTAACATTTGAGAACCTTGTAGCAGGTATCGTATAGTCGATGAGTCTGTGTTTTATCTATTTGTAAAATGCCGCTATCTGAAAGTCATAAATGATAAATAATAAACATACGGATATCAATCAAATCATCTAAATAAATATTCGCATAAAATCAAAACGTCTAAAGTAACGTTTAAACATAAAAACAGAGTACGTCTAAATTTAAATCATTCGATGACTTGTATTCAGTGACATATTGACAAAACATACAACAGAATAGAGATGTTCTAACCTGCAATAGCACAGAAAAGTTCGAGAATAGACCGGGTAATAGGCTGGATGTGTTGAGATATCTTCATGAGGTTAATGGACCCCTCCAAGATGGGAATAACAGTGTTGAACACAACGCTGAAGAGACATTCTGTTGGTTCTATCTCACTCTTTTTATCCACTTCTAGTATTATTCTGCAAGGGCAGGGTAGCCCTCGTCAAAGTATTTGTACAGAAATCAGAATACTTGAGAGGGGTCCGGACTCTACGGCGTAAGACTCTACGGCGTAAGACTCTACGGCGGGTTAGAGTTAGGGTTAGGGTTAGGGCTAGGGTTAGGGTTAGGGTTATGGTCAGGGTTAGGGTTAGAGTCTCACGCCGTAGAGTCCCGGACCCACTTGAAAGTGTATTTTTCAAGTATTTACGTTTGGTGTAAAGTGTAATATAAGGGAAAGCATCTTGTAGAGATAAAGCTAAGAATTGTTCTGTACCAAAAACCAAGAAACAATGAATTTGACATTGATTTGGACATCAAATGCAATGTCAGATTATTCAGCGCGAGCGGCAGCTAACGTATAGTTATTATTTCCCTAAAAATTCTTCAAATTCCATCTAATCAGTAGAAAGGAACATTGTACTTACTCAACAATCTTGTTGACTATGCCAGCAGCAATACCGTGGAACGTATCCAGAGCTGTGAGCACTTGCTGGGTCAAAACGGGGGAGCCAGGAACCTCCGCTATTTCGGTGCTGAACAATATTTTCACCGTGCTATCCCTGATTGGGCCAAATACCTGGTGGTACAAATGAGTGAGGGAAGAGGAACAATGTACTGCAAAACCCCGATTAAACTCGCCCCAATTTCCTACAAACCCCGATATACCGCGGCCATTTCCTTTCCCTAAACCGTAGGGCTGAACATAATATATAATCTACTCCGCGTTCCTACACGTACCCTGTCCATGAACTGTTGATGTTCCCCGGAGGGAAGGTGAGACATGATGATAGTTAGAGCGGCTGAGAACATCCTGTTAGCTTTAGAGGAGGGTAGAACTAACACTCCCGTCGTGTACCGACCAACTAGCTTCTGGAAATTATCATCCTTCATCAGTACCAACGATCTGGAACGAGATATGTCATGATGACATATTGCGATTAGATTTTATAAGTTAAACATGTAGATGTTTAACTTATAAGAGATTTGAACAAGCCAAAAAGAGCTCCAACTAAAGATCAACGTACATGAACCTACATTCTTGAGTTTTTAGAGCAGGATTGGAGCAGAGACATGCAGTCTTCAACAGTGCTCTGTTCTCCGGAGTAGTAGACCAGTCCTGATATTATCTTCTCCACTAGGAACCCTACCAACCACCCACCTGGTCAAATATATGTGGTAATATGTGGTAATTTGTGGTAATATGTGGTAATATGTGGTACTATTTGGTAATATGTGGTCATATGTGGTAATATGTGGTAATATCAGAAATATATATTTCTATAAACCACAGCTAGTTCCTTGATAAACCCTATTTTGTACACGTTGGTTATTTTAATAGAAGGTTCAAGAAGTTTGCGATAAAGATAGTTAAAAAGAGCTGGAATCAATCCTCTTCTTAATGCGATTTCCATTTCCATTACGATTAAATAGCAACCACCGCAACATGTTAGCATGGTGGTGACGGGTGCTTAACCCATTACAACCCACTTTGGCTGGTAGTTGGTACTGGTAATGATGTGGACTAGGATGTAACCTGTAGCGCAGTTAATATTGTATTGTATGTATACATTTTATTTTAGTCTTGAACATTTAAAGAAAGTGCCGATAATAGAATTGTGTGTATTCTTCTTTATTCCTAAAATCACTGTTTAATTCCTGATGTATCATTTCACATTTGTAATTTCGAATCGACAAGAAACAGTAAATATTAAAAACTGTATCCACCAAATTGAAGTTAAGAATAATAAAGTAATGAACGCTTTTAGATTTTATATTAATTCATACATATAAATAGCTTTCCTTACACGTGGGAGTGCTCTTCCCGGCAATATGTTCATCTCCTACCAGGAGAACAATAACTGATAATTTACCTCACCAAAAAAGGCACTGTACGAGTAACGACCAGACAGTGTACAAGAACTCGCAGCTACACTTATACAGTTGTACATGAAGTTACAACTTACAATGTCATTACTTATCTGTTTGTAGCTGGTAATAGTCTGTAAGTTCAATATTATGTTAGGATGCAATGAAACTATCGGACTACCATGAATGGGACTTGCCAACCCATGGCAACATTTAAATATATTGACTCTGTTACATTGCTTGTGTTAATATAAAACTCCGTAACAACCTAAACTGATATCTATCTCTTATAACCACAGCTATATCTCAGTCAATTAGTTCGTTTAGATTGTGTTCTAGCATATTCGTGTTTCTAAATATCAATTTGGAATTTATATCTTATTTTGGTGTTCGTTTTACCTGACATCATAATATTATTATCCAGAAGGCTGGTTCTGAGTTCAGATAACATTACTTATTGTTTTTCATTGCAATATTCCTGTATAGTAAATGACTACTGATAACACCACCCCTAAGCAGAAACTTTACGTAAGCTGCTAATACTGCTTATAAAACCTTACATACACTGACACAGTGTTTATTATAAACCATTACGAGTCACGACAATATACTTATCCCATTATCAATAGCTATAATATGTAGAAGTACATAAAATGCCCAATTAGCGCGTCAACTCTGAGACCGCACCATGTAGTTCTTGTTGTTATAGTCATCCTAGCTAACACAACCTCCCTCATCTACACCTGTGTCTTGACTAAAGACAGTCCTAATACTAATTTTAGACAAGCCAACCTAACCATTTTAGCTATATCTCTTGGTATGATTGTGTGCTACTGCTGGCTTCCCTTCAAGATTATCCAGATCTATTTTCTCAAGCCAACAAATAGTGACCAAGTACCACAATATCAGAATTATGCATACTATTGGTATCTTATTATTGTTCTACCCACTTAGGAGACTAGTTTTACACTTGCTGCCGATGTTATTGGTTTCATTAGTCGCAACTTGAGAGACCATATTTTAATCATTATCAATAAAAGATGAACATTCTTAGTCGAGATGAGCGTATACTATTTTCAGTTTTTTTAATAATGCTCTTGGCTTCAGTATGTATATTGATAAGCTTTTGACTTTTCTAGTGGAATTATGCATTAAACTCCAAATTAATTTATTCGCATCTACCAGATAAGCTCATTAAGCTGAAGTTTATTTTCGCTATTATACAACTCTTTCAAAGTATTTTATAACATTTTTCGTTGCTCCATATGATAATTTAGCATACAAAATAAGTATAACTCTCAACGCCTTCCCTCGCCCGCTCCTTTTCAAGGAAATGTACATCACCTCCCAACCCACGTCAGACTAACGACGTTTTTACAATTAAATGCCCCGGAGAATCGTTTATATACAATAAATCGAGCAATGATATGTTAAAACAAAAACTAGGTCGATTTTAATATAATTGGATTTTCTATCACAGTATACAAGCCCCAATGGTGTACGTTATTCGAGAAGCAACAGTTCCTGGTCATTGATTTTATTAGATGATAATTACACATCGACAATAAATGGATCAGTCATTAGTTTATCTGAAAAGAATTAGTTTGTTCGACCAGAATGCTTTTATGATCGTTGGCATCGGAAGAGAAGTGGTTAATTTGTATTGAATGGGTGCCTGGAGGTCACCGGTTTTAAGTTTCTCCATTCTAATTTTGCATTATTATTAAATTACTATGTTTCAAAGTATTTTATAACATTTTTCGTTGCTCCATATGATAATTTAGCATACAAAATAAGTATAACTCTCAACGCCTTCCCTCGCCCGCTCCTTTTCAAGGAAATGTACATCACCTCCCAACCCACGTCAGACTAACGACGTTTTTACAATTAAATGCCCCGGAGAATCGTTTATATACAATAAATCGAGCAATGATATGTTCAAACAAAAACTAGGTCGATTTTAATATAATTGGATTTTCTATCACAGTATACAAGCCCCAATGGTGTACGTTATTCGAGAAGCAACAGTTCCTGGTCATTGATTTTATTGGATGATAATTACACATCGACAATAAATGGATCAGTCATTAGTTTATCTGAAAAGAATTAGTTTGTTCGACCAGAATGCTTTTATGATCGTTGGCATCGGAAGAGAAGTGGTTAATTTGTATTGAATGGGTGCCTGGAGGTCACCGGTTTTAAGTTTCTCCATTCTAATTTTGCATTATTATTAAATTACTATGTTTTCTTTATTTTACATTGACTTTAAGGTGCATGCCAGCATATTTTCGGACGGCCACGGGTCAATTGCAATAAAATATGGTTTCGTCACTTTAGAACTCTGTATAAAATTTCACTGTGGTACAACGCTATTTAATATTTTAAGGTCAGTAAAATCGTATTATGATATATTGAAAGACTTTCCATCTACTTGGTGGTTAACTAAAGCTCACAGTTTACAAGTTACTTACATTTTCATCTATTCAGTACAGGGCTAACATGGTTAATGAAACCTACTATGAAGCGTTCACGGTTGCAGAGAGCATCTGCTTTATCACCTACTTCACATTGGTAGTGATACTTGGAGGTATCGGCAACCTGTTTGTTATCTACGCTAGCAGATGCTATTCCTCCTTCGACTTGGACAGAGTTACAATACTGTTTGTTCAGCATCTAGCCATCGCTGATTGCTCAAAGATCCTCTTCATGACGATACCAATGCTAACGAATCATCTCTACTACATGACCCACCCAAATAATTCCCAATGGTACCTTCCTTACTCAGTTGCTAAATTATCATATTTCGTGCTAGCATTTGCTAATCACTCAGTCGGTTTCTTCATTTTGGCGGTATCTTTGCACCGTTTGGCTCGCTGTTTGGCCCCCACTAGACTTCACCAATCTGGGAATAGAGGAGCGAAGATATTTATGGCACTACTTTGGCTTATTTCAGTCCTTCTCTCTTCAGTCGTATGGTTTTTGCCGACTCGCTACAAGATGCGCATTGCCATCTGCGCGATGGACAATACAGTAAAACTTTCTCCCCTTCTTAAAGCTCTAGCGGAGTACTCCAACCTCCCTCTGATGGCCCTTCTTGTTGTGATAGTCATCCTAGCTAACACAACCTCACTCATCTACACCTGTGTCTTGACTAAAGACAGTCCTAACACTAATTTTAGACAAGCCAACCTAACCATTTTAGCTATATCTCTTGGTATGATTGTGTGTTACTGCTGGCTTCCCTTCAAGATTGTCCAGATCTATTTTCTCAAGCCAACAAATAGTGACCAAATTAGTGACCAAATACCAAAATATCAGAATTATGCAGTGCCGTTAACCACAGTTAGTTCCTTGATAAATCCCATATTGTACACGGTCGTTAACAGAGGGTTCAAGAAGTTCGCGTTCAAAGTAGCGAGGAGGGGATTAGGAAGGGTTACTGGGCAAGATACGATAAACCGGTCATCTTTTGGAGAGAGTTCTGCTGTGAGGAGAAATAGATGTGAACCCGATATCTGATGGTACACAAGCTTTATCTAGTTCTACAGGCTGTGCAATAATGGGATATTGCTGTTAAAATATATTATTCTTTGTCAGCTTAGCGATTGTGATTAAGGTATACTGCTGTAAATTTATAAAATTCTTTAGTAGTATCTATTACGTTTAATGTCAGGTATATGAAATTGAATAGTTCTATAGTTTTATTGACTTTGTAATGGCAGGATTGCCGATCTTACTAATACTATTCGATAATAACTCTTTCCAAATTTTGATATTCGATATAAGCGTTAGTTTGCAATCCGACAAAGAGCAGTATTCTTAAATACTTTTTTACAGAGGGTAACAAATGTTAATCTACCCTGCATTGCAGATTATTGGTTGATTAATACATTTCAGTCAAAACGTCACGTCACATAAATTGGTTCGAATAAAGCGTTGAAAATCGAACCTTGAAATCATAGAAATTGGGAAGATTATAGGTACACCTTGGCAAAATGATGTAATATTGAAATGATTTAAACAAGCAAGTGTTTGCTTGAGAATACATGTTTACAACATGTTGATTGATTGAATAAACTGTTTCTACAACCCCTGACCGGACAATGATTGTACATTTAAAAGTCGGACAATTCATCGATGATAAACTAAAAACCAATACCCCGGGAATCTTCGGTCTTTAAAAAATTGAAACTAACTGTCTGGAAAAATTAAATTTAACAAGAATTGCGCCCGTTGTTTCGTTTTGGCGGACGCTAGATTTCCGTTCACTATAACTATAAATATAATCTCCAATCAGCTCACTTCATAATAATAATATTGATACACATCAGTACACTATACTACACATGCCACGTACAAATTAGGCTTATAACCTAATACTATACATTGCACAGTATTGTATCACGTTGTGACCCCCACGGTCGTTTCGCGGCGGGTCATACAACGTATGACAAGCACAGTATACATTAAAATACACTCGCGCCGCGCATTCATTGACAGGCTACCTATATACATCACATCTCCGCAAGCAATACTCGCGCGCTGCACTGCGCGCTAGTTGTCATGGTAACGAACGGAAGGACACACGACATATTTAAACCCACCTATCTCGTTCTCCAAAATCCACGTTTTTCTGCAAAAACCTCCATTCGTAACCTTTCACTATTGCCTTTTTACAAAAGGGTGAACGGAAAAAATATTGTCGCAATAGTTAAAAGATAGTAAATTATATATGTCAACACTCAACACTGCACAGTTGTGGACCTTCGATGTCTCTTATTAGGCTCATCTCGTGTTTTCTTGTATTTTCTGTTTCATATCTTTAAAACATTGCTTTTGTTGCCCTTGCTGTTTGATATGTCAACCTGCTGACAGATACACAGTCTTGTGCTTGTAGGGCAATCGCAAACTCCAAGATTTAGAATGGATATTTTGGACATCAGTCAACACTAGATCTTAATAGTGCAGTGCTTCCTGGCGTGCGCTCTATGCCCATTGCGCTTACCCCCATTCTTGGCTTCTTCAAGTTGCTCAAAAACCTCTTAAAAACTTCAATATATAATTTCTCAATTCCATTGCCCTTCAAAGGGCATTTAGTTAACAGCTTTGTACTATCACCATGTGACCCTCGTGTGATCCCGTGGTACCATTATATCTATTATATCACTACAATTAACCTATTATTGAACACCACGAGAAATAGCAGCACAAAAGAATTCGAACTTCCACATACAATCCTTGGTTTGTACTTGTATAACGTTAGTCCTTTGCAGCTGTTGCTTCAGCTCCCATTGCATTACTTTAACATCTTACTCCATTACATTGCATCAGTCTCACGTAAAAAAAGAGGTTTCTTACTGTACGTATACTGCCTTGGTTTCTTACTAATACTAATTCAACACTCAAATAACGTCAGAGTAGACAAAAGTTGAAGCTGATCGAAAAGGAGCCGTAAGTCGTTAGTCTCTATAGACGCTATCTTGATGTTTGTTACTGTGGAGTGTGGGTACTGAGTCATAGTGCAGCACGAAATATTAACAATAGTAAGAGCGAGCAGCTGTGTTGTACATGGTAAGAGCTGCTTGATAACGGCTAACCTCTAGTCGTTCCTCTATTTTGGCGTCGCCCTTGGTAGATTTCTTTGATATTTTCTTTGGTTTATAGAGGTTTTAGCCATTAGAAATTATGTCATTATTTTGTTACTTTGTTATCAAAGTTTAATAACATTGCTGTTATTCCAACTCCTTTAATTTAATTCCAATTTGTTATACAGGATGCAGTAACGGATGGTTCTTCCGTCAGTCTGTTTGTGAGTCAATTAGCTGGTTTTAAAAATGTAAAGAAATTGACCCAAGATTAAGGAAACAAAATATCGCTAATTTTTAGTAAACATATATGTACCCCCCTCCCTCCTGAAAATCAGGTCTTTAGGGCAACTGTTTATTAAGAGTATTATTCTTATGTGAACTATTAGCATTCTGACGGTTAAATTAAAGTCTGTTTACACGGTTTTCAACTTGTATTTCTACTGATAAGCCGACAAGAAGTTAACCTTTTTCTCAATTCAGTACAGGGCTAACATGGTTAATGAAACCTACTATGAAGCGTTCACGGTTGCAGAGAGCATCAGCTTCATCACCTACTTCACATTGGTAGTGATACTTGGAGGTATCGGCAACCTCTTTGTTATCTACGCTAGCAGATGCTATTCCTCCTTCGACTTGGACAGAGTTACAATACTGTTTGTTCAGCATCTAGCCATCGCTGATTGCTCAAAGATCCTCTTCATGACGATACCAATGCTAACAAATCATCTCTACTACATGACCCACCCGGATAATTCCCAATGGTACCTTCCTTACTCAGTTGCTAAATTATCATATTTCCTGCTAGCATTTGCTAATAACTCAGTCGGTTTCTTCATTATGGCGGTATCCTTGCACCGTTTGGCTCGCTGCTTATCCCCTACCCGACTTCAACAATCTGGAATTAAAAATGCGAGGTTGATAATGGGACTGCTTTGGTTCTTAGGACTTCTTTTCGCATCTGCTGTATTGTTCCTACCAACCTCATACCAAATGTATTACACACTCTGTACATTAGACATAACAGTACAACTATCCTCATTTCTCAACGTTTTTGCTGAGTACACGAACTATCCCCTGATGGCACTTATATTCCTCGTTGTTATTCTGGCGAACGCGACATCATTAATATACACCTTCATCCTAACTAAGGACAGCCCTAATGTTAATTTTAGACAAGCAAACCTGACGATCCTAGCCATATCTCTTGGAATGATTGTGTGTTACTGCTGGCTTCCGTACCAGATGATCTTTATCTACTACTTCTCTAAAGTTGGTGACTACTCCCCGAGTAACATCCAGAAGTATGCAGTGCCGTTAACCACAGCTAGTTCCTTGGTAAATCCTATATTGTACACGGTCGTTAACAGAGGGTTCAAGAAGTTCGTGATAAAAGTGATACGGCGGGGGTTAGGAAGGGTTACTCGACAAGATTCAACAACCAGAGCATCTTTTGTAAGTAGTGCAGTTGGTTCTGGTACTAAGGAGAGGCAGATATAAAATGTGAACGTTGGATCGAAGAACATAGCATGGACTATTTATTTATTATTCAATCATGAAACATAATTTTATTCGAGATATTTAGACTTTTAGAGTATGGTTAGCCCCCATGGACATTGGACATGAGTGGTTAAAATCTGAACTGAGAATATTCCTATATTTACAGGATATCCAGTAAAACTGGATAAGGCGGACTCTAAACCCTGATTGGCTAAAGAGTTTGAGAATCTACCTACCTTATAGTTAAATAATTATTAATTGGATCAATTTTCAGCATAAGTTTTGGTCTTTCCAATTTATAAAACGTTATTGTTCTTAATTAAACCGCAAATTTTAATTTTGATACACTGAATAATACTACTATAGAAAATGAATAATTCTTAATGTATAAGATATTGATAATAACCAATGCAGCTAAGATATAGATTGTGGAATAAGTTACATTTCCCCCGGGATAAAACCTGCGATTGTACGTAAAATGAGTAGTTTTCCAGATCTAAAATATTTAAATGAAAAAAAAATGGGTACTAACCAATAGAGGAGTCCACCCCGAAAGTAGTGACCACTGAAGTAGGAATGAACTGGTAGTCCCGCTCATTAGGCATGTGATAACTGGACATGATCCGGGTCAGGGACCACATCAGACTGCTAAACACCTAGAATGTGAGTAGTTACAATTAATTATTAAATAGTAGATGATTAGGACTTACACACGTGATCAAAGTTTTGCTTGCATCACAATATGAGAATCATACTGGGACAGAGATTGGGACAATATGATTTTGCAATTTTATTCGGAATTTTGACTCCCAGTACCTCAATTTGGTTCCATACCATCATCAATTAACTGACTAATTGGTTTCTGGGAAAAAATTTCATCCAATCTGTCAAATTTGTGTTCAGAAAATTTCATATTTGAAAATGGGACAGACTTTTTAAAATACAACTTTTCGTTTTGTTAAGCTTTCTGCTGTGGGCTTCCTCCGACCGAAATCAAACTTCCAGCAACTCAATCGTGTCATATGCCATCTATAATAGTTGACCGACTAATTGGTTGTGGGTGAGAAATTCAATAAAAACTGTAAAATGTCGGTCCTGGAAATTTCATCTTCAAAAACTGAAAATGGGACAGAGATTGGGACAATATGATTTTGCAATTTTATTCGGGATTTTGACTCCCAGTACCTCAATTTGGTTCCATACCATCATCAATTAACTGACTAATTGGTTTCTGGGCAAAAATTTCATCCAATCTGTCAAATTTGTGTTCAGAAAATTTCATATTTGAAAATGGGACAGACTTTTTAAAATACAACTTTTCGTTTTGTTAAGCTTTCTGCTGTGGGCTTCCTCCGACCGAAATCAAACTTCCAGCAACTCAATCGTGTAATATGCCATCTGTAATTGACCGACTAATTGGTTGTGGGTGAGAAATTCAATCAAAACTGTAAAATTTCGGTCCTGGAAATTTCATCTTCAAAAACTGAAAATGGAACAGAGATTGGGACAATATGATTTTGCAATTTTATTCGGGATTTTGACTCCCAGTACCTCAATTTGGTTCCATACCATCATCAATTAACTGACTAATTGGTTTCTGGGCAAAAATTTCATCCAATCTGTCAAATTTGTGTTCAGAAAATTTCATATTTGAAAATGGGACAGACTTTTTAAAATACAACTTTTTGTTTTGTTAAGCTTTCTGCTGTGGGCTTCCTCCGACCGAAATCAAACTTCCAGCAACTCAATCGTGTCATATCCCATCTATAGTTGACCGACTAATTGGTTGTGGGTGAGAAATTCAATCAAAACTGTAAAATTTCGGTCCTGGAAATTTCATCTTCAAAAACTGAAAATGGGACAGACATTGGGACAATATGATTTTGCAATTTTATTCGGGATTTTGACTCCCAGTACCTCAATTTGGTTCCATACCATCATCAATTAACTGACTAATTGGTTTCTGGGCAAAAATTTCATCCAATCTGTTAAATTTGTGTTCAGAAAATTTCATAGTTTTAATACTTTAAACACTACTATATATAGTAGTGTTTAAAGTATTAAAACTATTTGTTATATATAACAAATAATTTGAGGTTTTTACTGCGTTTTAAACGACGACCAACAGCTTTTAGTGGGTTTATCAAGTACTTTTCAGCACTTACCACTATATTTATTTGGTTTGAGTTAAAGTAGAGAGGTCTCAAATCCTTTACAGCAATGGTTATCACTGATGTCTATGACAAGATGAAAAAGGAGTTAGAAACGTTAAACGACAGTTTAAAAGGTAAGAAGAAGTTGGATACTATAATTGCAGATTCCTTAGACTTACCCACAGGGAATAACAAGCCGGATATGTTTGAAGTTATAAAGGAACTATACAGTTTCAGTAAGAGGGCCGTGTCACTACTGAAGACCAAGTCTATACTAGACACACCTGCACCACAGGAAGGGACAGCTACCGAGGCACTGGATATAGTGAGAAAGGAGCTAGCACAATTTAGACAAATTCTCATTGAGCACAATAAAGGTATTATACCTGAGATTAAGACCAATCTCGGACCCAGTGAGACTCATACTTTAACTCTGGAAGGGCAGAATGAGGCAGATAAGATAACAGAAGAACTCTGGTCCTCAAAGGTGAAGAAACATGTTGCATCAATACTGCCCAGCATCCCTATTAAGGGGGTCTCAGGTGTCAAAGAAGGCACAGCAAGGTTAATATTCAAGAACAAGGAACTTATGGAGAAAGCTAAAGATGCTCTTAGTGTGGACTACAAAGTGTCTGCAAAATCCCACACCGTGACAATGCTTGAACCTAAGCTTACTATGTATGATCTCAAGGGAGATTTTGAGTCATCTGAAGAATTGCGCCAGAGCATCCTTGATAAGAACAGTTCCATTAAGAGTTTAGTTGAAGATGAGAACAACACTTTCAAGGTTATTTTCCTGGAGAAAAACAAGACCTGGGCATGCCGACAAGTGTCAGTGAAAATCAGGCAGTCTACAAGGGAGTCAGGTGACTTTGTACACGCTGATCTTGGACAGTATAAAGTTAAGGATAGGTATCATGTAATCCAGTGCTTTGACTGTCAGAGCTTCGGACACATGAGTGGCAGTGATTACTGTAAGTGTAAGAAGTATAATGCCGACCCAGTGTGCTTCTACTGTGAAGGTGCCCACAAATCGAAAGATTGTGAGAAGAAAACGGCGGGCCAAAGATCTAGTATCAAGTGTACGAACTGTAGCAACAGTAAAGACAAGAATGTCAAAGATAAATGCAAGACACATTCTGCAGCTGACAGATTATGCCCATCTTATGTGAGAGAGCAGAGTTATATCATGGCCAGAACGAGCGGATGTGAAACATCAAAAAACTCTTATCTCCAGTGGGCAAAGATTCGACAAAGAGAGCTTGGGATAAACTAGTCTTGGCCACGTTTAATGTTAATCGTCTAGTGAACAAGACAGTAGAGGTTCTTGAGCATCTAACTGATGAGGGGGTTGATATCTGTTTTCTTCAGGAGACTTTTCTTAAGGAAGCAGATACCGCAAAGCTACAAGAGATACGAGATTATGGTTGGGGTATTTTTATCCAACCCAAGGAAGCATCGTAGTGGTGGAGGAATAGGTATGATTTTCAATAAGAACCTTAAGTTGAAAAGCAACGGTAGAGTCAAGAAGTACAAGTCTTACCAAGTCATGGAAGTTGTACTTGAAACAAATAGTGGGATAATCAGACTTATTGATGTGTATAGACCGCCTTACACCAAAAAGGCCAGGTACACTGAGTGCCACTTCTTGGAAGAATTCAGTGAATACCTGTGTGATTTGTCCGGTAAGCCAGGAACCCCGGTGATTGCAGGGGATTTTAATTTACATGTTGAAAGACCTAAAGATCTTTACCCCGCAAAGTTTCTTTCCCTTCTTGATCAGCTTGGTTTCATCCAATGTGTACCACTAGAAAGAACTCACAACCAAGGAGGAACTCTTGACCTCGTGATAACGACCAAAGTCTTCAAAGACTCTATAACTTCTATCAACATTGTGGAATCTGGGACTAGATCAGATCATTTTCTTGTTAAATTTGTAGTGTCTGTGAGCCTGAAAACCTCTTTGAATGATACTAGGGTGATGAACTACCGTGATTTTAAAAGTATTGTGGTTGAGGATTTCAAAGCAGATATTTTGGTTTCTGATCTCTGTAAAAGAGATGCTTGGTGCTCTGAGAGTCTTGATGAGACAGTTAAGATGTACAATAGTATTCTATTGGAACTTATGGACAAGCATTGTCCTGTGATCAGTAAGGAGATGAAGAGTGAAGACAAAGGTAAACCTTGGATGGATCAGGATCTGAAAGTTTTACAGAGGCAGAGGAGAGCAGCTGAGAGAGCCTGGAGGAAAGGCAAGGGACAGAAGGATATTTTTGTCAACCTCAGGAACAAATATATTGTCATTGAGCGACAGAAGAGGATTACTTACAATAGAAAAGCCCTCTTAGCCTCTGCGGGAGATACGAAGGCTCTGTACAAGAAAGTTTATAGACTCACGGGTGAAACTACCCAAGAAAGGCCACATGGTAATGACACTAAAAAACTTGCAGAAAGTTTTAAAGTTTTCTTTGCTGATAAAGTGAATGATATCAGACTTGGGATAGAAGAAAAAGGAAGTCATATCGGAGGGAACTTGTCATCGTCAGAGAATCTTGAAAGCACCTATTCAGGGCCATCATTTGATAAATTTCACTCCATCACTAGGCAGCACCTGTTACACACCATTTCTAAGATGTCTAACAAGTTTTGTAGTCTTGACCCTATTCCAACTTTCATGTTGAAGAAATGCTCTCAGGAGTTGGCACCGATCCTCCTGCACATAATAAACGGTTCTATGTTGCAAGGTGTGTTTCCAGCCGAGATGAAGACTGCACTGGTCAAGCCCACTATCAAGAAGAAGAATGCTGATCCAGATATTCTGAAGAATTATAGACCAGTCTCAAATCTTGCAGTTATGTCTAAACTGATTGAAAAAATTGTACTTGAGCAGTTGAACAATCACTTACATTTGAACAGTCTGCATTGCCCAGTTCAGTCTGGATACAGAGCGAACCACAGTTGTGAAACCCTGATGGTCAGGATGGCAGACGATATTCTTAAGGAAGTGCAGAAGAACAACATTGTGATTGTAGTCCTACTTGATCTCTCTGCTGCTTTCGACACGATTGATCATACAATCCTTCTTAAGAAGCTGGCAAAAGATTTTGGTATTAAGGACTCTGCATTGAAATGGTTTAGTTCATACCTCTCAGGCAGGTTTTTCAAGGTTAAGTTAGATGACTCATTATCTGACTTCCAGTGTCTGTTGTTTGGGGTACCCCAGGGCTCTCTATTGGGACCTATCCTGTTCATCTTATACATTAAGCTGCTCCAGGAAATAGCTAGAAAGTATGGTCTCGATATACAGCTTTATGCAGATGACTCACAACTTTATATAGCTTTCCACCCGATGAGACCCATGGAGCTGCAGAATGTCACTAGTAGGATCAATGACTGTCTGTCTGAAATCAAAGTATGGATGGTTAATAATTTCATGAAACTGAATGAGAGCAAGACAGAATTGTTAGTCATTGGAAAGCCTTTGGTACTGAAGAAGTTTGACC